GCGCACACGCAAGAGTGCGAGAGCTCAGAAGATCACTCGCAGAGCCCCCTACCTGGCGCGCCAGATGATGGAGCGTGGGGCTCCTCACCGGGAGACCGCGCAGGCCCCCCTTTGCCGGTTCGGCCGGGGACTCAGGGTGAGATTCTAAGCTCTCTGTATGTGGAAGGTTCGCGAGAATGGAAACACACAAGACACGGGCGATGTATACAGGTTCGGGCCGCTGAGAAGCGTAATACCCTACTCCTGTGTTTTGGTGGATCTATGTATGAAGAAGCTACAAAGAGCTGGAGAACCAGAGAGCTCTTACTCTCTCCCTCTCTGATCCTTCTCCATCCGAAAAATCCCCATCCCCCTTCTAAGTGGGCAAGGTCCTCCTTTTATACCTCAAGGGGATACCACATGCACCATCTCTCTCTTTTTTGTGGGGACTTATCCTATCTTTTCATAAATGGACGGAGATTTGTATGATTGCCGTCCGAATGACCTTCTGATGGGACGGCCCATACCTACCTCCACTTCCGCCGGAAGCAGGCGCGACGTGGGAACATGGCTGTCTGCTGACGACATGACCAGTGTCAGACCAGTCACAAATCGGTCATTCTTGTCCACCACGCGTCAGTTTATCAATCTGCATGTTCGCCCCTCTTCATACAATGTCTTGCTTGTAATGGTTAGGATGAAGCCTGGTATATATCTGACCGGGACCAATGTGCCATCTCCAGGAGCTAACACGCCGGCTCCGGCTAGGGACGAGTGCTTGGAGGCTCTCATCCTGACGGGATGGGGCGAGGCGTGCGTCAGACCGCCTGTCGCCACCTAACCCACGATCTGATCGGTCTGTGACTGGTCACTGACCGGATAAACGAGCGCGCTGCACTGCGTTACATGCGGCGTGACGCGCTCGTCCAAACCGCAATAAATGTGGTTAGGTGAGCCCCGCTATGCTCACCTACCTCATATACGCGGCGCAAAACCCACAAGGGGTCGGGGCACCTCGGCCCTCGGGGCCGAGGCGGGAGCGGTCCGACCCCTCGGGGAGACAAAGAGGAGGGCGAACACATCACCCTCGGGCCCGACGCCCCCCGAGGGTGACAGGCCACGTGGGCGATTGTGTCTGCCTCAAGCCTCTAGTCATGATACTCCCGGTCCCATGTCACCGACAAACTGTGTCCAACAATAAAACTTCTTATGTTCTGGGGCCGAGGTAATAGTATGTTTAATTAGTTAGATCAAAATGTTACATATAATGTTATTTACATGTTTCGGGTACTAAGTGGAGAATAAAACACTAGTACTCGGCTTCTCCCTACAACAAAATAATAAAAAAAAGTATCGTGTGGGAACATAACATTTTTTCTCTACTGTTATGAAAATTTATAGTACTTCTACTTAGACTGTGGTGTAGGGGTGGGTATTCGGTCAGACCAAATCCCGGTCTCGATATTCGGTCTTCAGTCATTTAGTCAGTTCGATCATTGTAAAGTGAAAACCGAATAACAATGCAAAATTGTCAGGATCGGTTAATTCAGTCTCAGTTTTGACTGAACTGTGCTAATTTTAGAAGATAAATTTTGGCAGAACTTTACCTCTTTTAAGACAACTTTTGATAATTATATATCACATATATACAAGGCAACATCAGACACCAAACAATACATTACATGATAGGATCAAGTAGTAAGAATAAATCAACTCACAAGCATCATGCATTTAGTCGTCAACTTCATACGACATACAATACATCACAAATGACATTATGGTTATATCGGTCACTATGGTTAACCAAGACCACAGACGGAATTAGCCGAATAAATTTTGGACTTTTTGGTTTAGTCTTATTCTACCCACCCCTACCTTGTTATGTCGTCCCACATCGTGACGGATTGAATGCCATCATCACACAACTTCCATATTGCTAGCAATTCGATTCCTTTTTCCACTACCACAAGCCTGATTATGTTTCGAAGTTTTTAGTCTCTGCAACAACGACTTTCCTATCAGCTTTCCATCTCGTGTAGTTCCCTCATCCCAATCTTATGCAGAGGAGAAGCCGTTGCCGTGCTGAGCAAAGTGAGGGGGGTGGACTCTGGAGAGACGGATAGTGCAGGGACAAAGGGATTGACAACAAGAGTGAAGGTGAGGGAGAGGACATATCAATCGATCTAGATCCCCGTGCTATCGGGTGGTTCGGTTCGGTTAGCTCGTTTCTTCTTTATGCTGATTTACAAAATGACCGGCATTGATATAGCATCCATATTAACGTCACAATATATAGAGTTAGAGTAGTACCGATTCCGAATTGGCAAATGTCTTACATGCGCCAGTTTTAATTGGAGCAACACATACAAGATGTCACATATTTGGTGTTCTATATTAGTGTTATCTGTCCGGAATTCTATCCTTTGTTGCAAGGCTTTTTTTCCGTATAGTTGTATTTAGGTCATATTGTTGGTACCTATCTGTGTTACAATACATTTTTAATTCCTAACACATTGGGAACTTATGGATTATTTTAGAAATATCATTTTGTAGCAGTTGATTATTGCTGCAGAAACTGTTTTAGCCAATAGTCTCTTTCTGTTTAGTTATACACGATCATTAAAGAAGCATATAAAAATAATTTTATTTTAGTACGGAGATAAAGTACCATTTATAAACTCGCTATTCAGCAGATGTTGACTGAAAGCAGTTACGTGTAGCGAAGAAAATGAGACAACTGTGTCCTTTATCATTGATACTCTCAGAATTAACACTTCATTAGCGACCAAATGTATTTTCAAATGTATTTTCTCATGTTCCCCTTCATCTACTTCTGATAGTAATATTTCCAAATCTGAAAATTTTATTTTTGATAGACATATTTAACTTCAACAATCTATCATCTTAATAATTTTCTCGGATTTAATGCATGACTCTCCATTCTTCCACATAAGATTGGTTACATATACATCGAGAAACGTAAATATCAATAAATTGCTTGTTTACGAGGAATAACTAGTAGCGTATTTTAAATGAATGATAAGTAGAATTATTTATCTTTGATCTGTGTGCCAAGATGAAATATGACTATCAAAAGTAGATGGAGAGGGTATTACACTCTACATTTTCACTGGAGCTATCGCAAAGAGGGCATCAAGCAGAGGCTGGACCGATCGATAGAGTAGACGAAAAGCATAAAAGTGAATCGCATGCCGCAGCCGCAAATACCTTTTGACCGGCTGCTTCGCTTTTCTCGGTCTTCCTTGGGATTGGCGGCCCAGCTCAAAGTATTTTGGGCTACATGGACTAGTACACGCTACGTGACCAGTGACATGTAGGAGTAGGGCGCTGCACCTTTTGCGGTGCGAATGATGCGCGGCTTCACGTGCTGCAGCGCCGCACCGACGACGAGCACCACGCCGGCACGCCGCAGCAATAGTACTGGCGCATAAGATAAGAATTCGCCTTCACAGGTCATAGCTTCGCCACCTTTGTCCACCAGTATAGGATAGGACAAATCACACGGAAGTACAGTTGGATTCACCAATGAAGAGCCCTGAATTTCCAAGTATAATTAATTTCGACGAATCACCGCTCGTCACTTCTGACCTCACATCGACCGGATCGCCCGAAAATCGTCTCCCCGACGGCAACGACAGACCGGCTTCGCAGAAAAGGCCATACGCCGAATTCTGGACAGTCGTCCAGCACGACGCACACCCAGCAGCCGGCCGCCCCGCAATTCCAGCCGCTCCAGAAGAAAAAAGAGAAAAAAAAAACAAGAAAGGGAGAGAAGCCGTAAAGAAACAGCCGAGCAAACGGTGGGGGCGCCGCGACGAAAGCGGCGACCTCCCGATGCGGGCGTGGGGCCCACGCCCCCCGCGCGCGCGATGGCGAAACGGCCGCCGCGCGAATCACTGCGCCCCGCCCCGACGCCCCCGCGCGGGCGACGGGTGGTCCCACGCCCCCTGTCTGCCGCGACCACGCCAGGTCCTCGCGCGCGGGGGCCAAACACGCACCACGGAATCCAGCCAACGGAAACTCGCCTCCACCTACGCGCCGCCCGCCCGCAGATCGGGCCACACCGCCCGCGCGGCCGCAGCGACGATCCCGGGGGGCCCGGCTGCTGCTGCGAGTGGCCGGCAGCGGCGCACACGTGGCCCGTGGGCGTGGGCGTCGTCGCCCACACGCTCACGTTACTCCCGAGGTCACGAGCGGAAAGGAAAGGCAGGCACAGGCGGGGGCGGGGCGCAACCAACCCACCAACCAACCGAACCAACCCGGCAGCACGCGGGCGCGTTGCCGGTAGCCATCCACACGCCGTACGACAGCTGCGGGCGCACACCGACGCGGAGCCGAAAGATCCACCCGCCCCACCGCACGCCGCTCAGGGCGGCCGCCCGCCCCCGCGCCGGTGTTTTTTTCTATTCGGCTCGATTCGATTTACGCGTTCGTTATCCACATGCGTCGTCGCCTCCTTGTGCCGCTGCCCCAGCCTTGACAGCAACACGTACTATAGCGGCAATAGTTTTTTCTCTCCTTTTTCCTCCCTCCGGTTTCCCTGACACCATTGGTCAGAAAACGACCGCGCGCGGGCAAGGCGAGTGCCCGCGTTGAACGGGTAAAAAAAAAATCTTTGCGTCGGCAACGGCGACTGTAGCGTCGGTAGGCCTCATCCCTCTACACGCGTAAGAATTGACAATGATTCCACCTCACTCGTGCTGCCAACTACCCGGGGTTAAAATGACATCGCCGCTGATACGGGTGATCGATCCGGTGCCTGCTAAAGTCGACACGTGAGTGGTGTAGACTGTATGGGTGGGATGCCCATGCACGACGAGACGACTGAGTGTTCATTAATCGACAAAGATAACGGCGATTGTTGCATGGATCGCAAGCAAGAGACCAGAAGAGACGGGTTCGAAGTGCAAACGCTCAGACGACATGCCACCAATAAATGAACCGCCTTGCCGGTAACGCTCCTGATTTATCACGAGCTAGAGCTTATAAGCAAAACAGAGTGAAAAGATGATTTCTTAGAAGGGTTTCTACATAGTTTCTCATGACTATCAAAATAATAATAATACATATATAATCCCGCTCCATAACAACGCCGGCAGGATATGTCTTAGGTGACACACATGGTGTGATCTTCTCTTAAACTACATCGCCGGCGAAAAAAACTATTTACAAAAATGTCTTCCCTCAGTTAAGCAAGAGGGTCTAGGCATAAGAGGTACACGGAATTTTTCTACTACTAAAAATTAAAAAGAAATAAATGAACTAGCGGTCATCATGTAAAAACTCCGGCTGCTAGACCTCCATCGGCGGCGGACAGTTCAGATCAAGATCAAAAGCGATGGCTTTCTTCGCCAACGCGGCGGGCGGTGATGGTGCCAGATCCACGATCGACGAGGAGTCGGAGTCGCTCTGTGCCAAGGCGGCCACGGTGACCGGCGCCGGCGCAATCTTGAGCATGCGGCAACCAGAGGCGGCGGCGGCGGCGGCCGCTTGTCCAAAGAAGTAGTAAGGGTGCGATACGGGGTAGCCCTCGAAAGGGAAACGCATGCCGCCTGCGCCGGCGGCCGCGGCCGCTGCGGCGCGGTGGAACAGGTCGAGCTCGAGCGACGGCGGGATCGGCATGGCCTTCATGGGCGCCTGCACGTCGCTGCCGAACGACTCGACGGTGCTGCTGTTGCTGCTGCCGCTGTTCACACCGGCGGCGGGCGCGCCGTTAGGGTAGGGGAAGTTGGTCTTGGCCTTGGCACCGCGGTACTCGCGCGCCGCGGCGTCGTAGGCGCGCGCGGCCTCCTCGGCCGTGTCGAACGTGCCGAGCCACACGCGGCTCTTCTTGGCCGGGTCGCGGATCTCCGCCGCGTAACGGCCCCACGGCCGCTTCCTCACGCCACGGAAGTGCTGGCCGGTGCCCACGGCGGCGGCTCCGGCGACACCGCCCACGCCAAGCGCGAGTCCGGTGGCCGCGGCCGCCGGTGACATAGTCTTGTCCGACGTTCTCGGCGCCATGGCGATCTTTCTTTTCTCCGTGTTTCTTTCTTGGTGCGCGCTGATGGTGCGGTGCGGATGCGGGTGCAGCTGCGGTGTTGCGGATGAGGGGGTGGTGGGGAGGAGGGACTTATAGGAGGGAGGAGGTGGGGGGTTAAAAAGGGAGAGGAAATGGGCGAGCGGGCGGGTGGTGGAGCGGCAGGGAATAAAACTCGGCGCAGTCAGGGAGCGGTTTGACTGTCCGCGCCGCCGCCCCTCGTCTTTAGCGTGGCGGCATTACAATTCGGCAGGCGCCTTTTTCCTCCTGACCCATCAAAACCAGCTAATTGCGCGTGAGTGAACCTGTAGAGTGCAGTTGCATTTCAGCCCCGGCAAACGGGAAACCAGGAGAAATGTGTTTGTATTAGTCCGGAGAGGTTTTTACTTAAAGGAAATATACATTTATTATTATTTTTCATGAATTGTAGTCTTGTTTCTTACGGATGGATTGTACCAAAATTATATCCTCAGGTATTTTAAAATTGACGACAACAAAACGGTGAAATATGCAAGACTATACTGTGGTAAAATTGTGTGTGCATAGTTATACCATTAGGTGCGTACATGTTAGTGAAATTCCGAATCGGAATTTAGTACAGTCAAGAAGTTGTTATAGGTTCATGCCTCTTTTAAAATGCATTAGGTAATGTTTTTGTGGTTTTGGATTGTCGTTAAATGCTTAGGAATGTATGTGTGTTTGTATTTTCTATGTAATCGAATAAATATTCATTGAGAAACAAGGGTAGCGGCTAATATAAGCGATAGCTAAAAATATTCATTAAAGAACTGGGATAGGATCACTCTAAGTTCACAGGTAACCCAACTTTTAGATAAAGGCTAGAGCTAGAGTCCAACTAATTATAGGTAAATTAGTAATTTACAATAACATGATTATGAGTAACTATTATTTATGTTTTTTCCCATCTAAAACTATCTATCATCATCCATTACGTTGGCATCGCTAATATTCCATGGAAAAAATCCAAAAAAGAAGAAAAAAGGTTTAGTCATTGTTAAATGATGATTATATCTATCCGCATCTATTCTTTTGAACAACAGTATCTCTACATGTTTCTACTACTGCTAACTAAGGTGTTAGTATAAATAGACCTAAACCATTTCATCAAATGAAATTAACGATTCAGACTACTTTTTACTATTAGTATAGAGTATCATGGTGGGGCTCGAAGAGAACAACATAGGTTGTTAGTGGTAAGACAAGTGATATGTGGTGGCGAATGGCAACAACAAATGCCAAGGTTTGTGTTTTGCCTAACAACACCGTGCTCTTTAATAGCTTGTGCATCATTGGCAACGAAGAGGCCGAAGATAGTGCAATGGGAATGAAATTAGGGGAATGATGAATTAGATACAGACATATATCGGTGAAAAAAACATCTTTAATGTTTGAACTAATGAAACCAAATGAACACAATGGTAAGTGGTTAGGTGATGGCAAATGATAACCGCCAGTAGTTTATTTGAGATTGAGAAGACAATAGGATGATTGTGTTGTGTTGCATTTGACGAAAATGATGATAAGTCATTAGAGGTGGAATACTGTATTAGTTAAGCCTCTTTTTCTCATGGGAAAAAAAGTAATGTCTCAATTTATTTTAAATGGTGTTAATGATGCAGATTTAATTTTCTGCCTTTTGTTTCCCAAAAACACGTTAATTTTGTGTAAACGTTATTGGATCGTCGTGTGATATTGCTATGGTTTAGGTACTGGACTGCGAAGTCTCCTCGTTCCCATCCCATAAACAAAAGGCATCAAAGCCGCCGCTCGCGGGGCCCGCCGCGGGTGCGTAGAGCGGCACGTTGTGGGAGCACGTCACGGGCGTCGTGGGACCCGCGCAAGGACAGGGGCGACGCATCACGATCCGTGCGTCCCGAGCCGCGGTCTGGGCGGCATTCGCATCCGTGGGGGCAACCAAAGTCGCCGCCCGCGTGCGCGCACAGGCACGTGGCCCCCGCCGCCCCTTCCTCTCTCCAGTCTCTACTCGGCGCTGCACGGCACGCGACGCGGACCTGCCCGCGTCGCCCGTCGTCTCGTCCACCCACACCACACCACCTCACGTCGTCAGGAGAGAGAGATCATACAATATCTCTCCAACCGCCTCGTCGGCGCGGCGTGAGCGGGATGCGATGCGTGACGTCCAGTGGACACGCACAGCCGCGCAAGCCGATAAAGCCGGCCGCCGCTTGGCCCGTACCCACCACGTAAAGTGGCCGCCGCGACGGATTAAATCACTGCACACAGACTTGAGAGAGAGAGAGAGAAAAAAAAAACGCCGAGAGGGACGGGTGACGACGGCACGTTAGGCGGCAGGCGCGCGAGGGAACGGGGCGGGCGGGCGACGACGTTCGAGGCTGTAGCGTGGGCCCTCGACAAGTGTCGGCATCGGCCGCGCTGCCTGGATCGCGAGGCTGCTGTAGTGGTACGCGCCCTGTACCGCTGGCTGTAGCCACCAACCGTTCCCGCCCGTCCCCTCCTCTCGCTCTCTCGCGGCGCCCCTTTCGCATTAAAAAGCAAGCGGTGGAACCGCGCGGCGTGGCGTGGACCGACAGGTCGCGGGGGCCGCGGACGGGCACGCGCCGGTGGTAGTAGCGTACTACGAGTACTAGTAGTACGTTGCGTGCCGTGGGGCCGCGTGCGGGCGTGTGTACGGGGCGACGCGTCGGTCCGTGGCCCGGGTGGCCCCACCCACGCACCGCGCGCACGCACGCTCGCATGCACGCTCGCGGCGCTGCCACCTTTCCTCGCGCAGGACCACGGGATCGCGCGGCGGGTGGCGCGGCGCGGCGCGCGTAGTGGTGGCGGTACCGCGTACTACCGGCGCGCTGAGGCACCGACCGCTTGTCCACTTGCGCGGGGTGTGGGGCCGGCGCGGCCCGTGGATCTGGAGCCCGGGCGGGCGGCGTGAAAAGCGTGCAGTACCACCTCCGCCGGTGTAAAACTCGGTCCATTGGACGGTAGGGACTGCCAGCTCGAGCGTTTCCTATTTCAAAAAGACCACTGTCTCTTTTGTATCCACTAATCTCACTAAATATCTACTCCATCCGTATAAAAAAAACTCAAAACTAAAAGAGATATAACCCTTCCTATAACAACGAACCTGGACAAAGGTAGTCCAGATTTATGGGGTCATATCTCCTCCTAGGTTAAGTTTTTTTATAAAGGGAGTATGCAAATATACGTAGGAGCATTACGTAGCTGTGGTTGACAAAATAAAAACTCTTATGGATAAATTGTGTACATAAATTGAATTGAGCAATTTGGCAACATTTGTATACTATACTGAAAGTTTTTTTTTTAGCTTTGATATCCATGCCAATCACTTGATTTTTCTTCGTAATTGTTAGTCTCCTACACTTACCGATGTAGTAAACTAGGAAAGGATCATGTGTGCACAATCTTCGGGTGCACTAAGTGTAACATATTTAACTAATAAGTGTCACATAAAATTATAGAAAATTATGTGCATGTAATTTACTTGTGTGGAAATTCTTATCTTCAAATTCAACATATATAAAGAGAGAAAAAGACAAAACATATTTCCTAAAAAAGACAACATATTTACACTCTTAAATCTGTCATATTTTTCCTTTTTACCTAAAATAATGATTTGATGTTGAGACTTTAGATATATTTGTTATACTCTTAGAAATACATTTATATTTTTTTTAAAAAAATTCTATCATACTAATTACTACCTCCATCCCTTAATATAAGGGATTTTAACCTTTTGCGTTTGACCACTCGTCTTATTTTTTTTACAAATATAAAAAATAAAAAGTTGTGTTTAAAGTACTGTGAATAATAAAGTACTCCCTCTGTCTCAAAAAAAAGACAAACTCTGGTATCCGTGTGCAACGTTTGATCGTCCGTCTTATTTAAAAATATTATGAAAAAATTAAAAAGACAAGTCACGCATAAAGTATTAATCAAGTTTTATCATCTAACAACGATGAAAATACTAATTATAAAAAAATTTCATATAAGACGGACAGTCAAACGTTGGCACGGAAACCCAGGATTTGCCTTTTTTTTTGGGACGGAGGGAGTAAGTCACAAATAAAATAAATGATAATTCTAATTTTTTTAATAAGACGAATAGTCAAACAATGCAAGCAAAATATCAAAATCACTTATATTATGGGATAGAGGGAGTAGCTAATGTGCAAAGCGTGTGCAAGATATGCGTGTTCCCATATCAAAATATGTATTACATACACATATTATAGAAAGAGCAACTTTTGAGTTTGTTTAGTTTGGAGCTAGATTTTGGTACTAACAGAAGCTTAATAAGTATTAGCACAGCCAAATTTGATAATATAGAATTTGAACTACCGTGGACAAATGTCAGTGCTATTTATTTCATATGATTAAAGTTGCCAACGTTTTGGTAACGCAGAAAATGGTTCGAATCCAAACAAAGATGAACTTTAACTTCTATTTTGCTTTATCTTTTTAATTCAATAAATCCAGATATATTTTATGTTTATATAGGTCATAGGAAATGTTTGAACAGAGTATCGTTTGGCTAAAAAAGAAAAACATAGGTATAGGTAATTGGATATTGATCTTGTGTTGAAAAAAGAACTACACATCACTTGATGACAATAGAAGTAATTGGACCCAGGCAGCAATCGTTTGGAGTTTGGACTGCACAATGATGGTTTTGCACGCAGTGATAGTTTTTTCATTTTTCTTCTTTTTATATGGTTAGAAAGTAATAAAGGATAGTTTTTCTATATCTTTAGTAGTACAAGAAAAGGACTATACTGTAGCCACCAAAGCTTCAAGGTTCTAAAATACTCCTACTACTATATGAGTTTGAATGACAGAAGTTATTCGTACGACGACAGCTGTGTGTTTAGTTCAGCGTAAAGTTTAAATTTTGGTTAAAATTAAAGATGATGTGACTGAAAAGTTGTGTGTGTATAAGATGTTGATGTGATGAAAAATAACTGAAGTTTGAATCCAAACTTTGGATCTAAACACAGCCAATACCCCAAACTTGAAAGAGCAATTGGTTAAGAAGAAATCACTATTTATTTCCGACGATGACAGCGGACCAAGGTCTGCTGCCGTGCTGCACGATCAATCTGCCACGACGGTGACAGGCAGCCGCCGTATGCTCCGCGTGGGCTGTAGGAAATTACTGGAAGTCTGGAACGACTACTGTCATCAACTATTCCGGACAGCGATCTTCGTGATAATTTCTCATGTTGAACTGCGCACGAACGTGCCTCTCTGAGCTTCCATGCGCCATCACCGGCTGCTAGCGAGGCACGATTGAATTTTTCCCCCCGGCTGATACGCTGGGTGGGGCTGGCAGCTGCCGGCCGCTCATCAACGACGCGCCACGCGAAACAAAGCAGCCCGCACGCCGCCCGATCTCGATTAGTATCGGCATTTTAGCCGCTAATCCACCTCGGCCGACACATTATCCGCTTTAAAAAAAGCACGGACGGCTACCGCTAGAGTATTACTCCTTGTACTAGTGGAGGACTAGTACTACTCGTACCGACGCCGCCGGATCGCGCGGTCTCGTGGCGTGGGGGATGGGCCCCTCCACCGGGCTGGCGGGTTACGCTACGCTAAAAACGCCGTGGCGTCTTGGATGGGATCCGATCCATCGCGGAATAATCCGCGGGACCGCGGCGCGGAGACGGGGACAGCGAGGAGGGTGACGGGTGGCTGCGAGCGTACGTGCCGCCGGTTTCGGGGTCCTTGTCGCTCGGGTCACGTCTTGGTTGCCGCGAATCTCTGGGCGCGTGGAACATGCGCATCGCGGCGGCGGCGGCGTCTCTCGTTCGATCGTTTCGTGCGGGTTTTGGCGGCCCGGGAGCGCGCGAGACGACGTAGGCCTTGTTTGCAACGGATGAAGATGACACGTAAAAACCAGAAAATCAATTATAAATTATTATAAATTCTAAAATAAATTTATTTTATATTTTAAATAGCTTTTATATAAAATTTTTACACGAAATACACTATTTAACGGTTTTAAAAAAAACCGAGTTAAAATCTACTTCGTCCGTCCTAAAATATAGTAAGTATTTTTAGACTGACACGGTTTTTAAGGTGCTACTTTAACTAATAATATCTATAAAAATAAGATATTTTAAATAAAAAGAGTTGCGTATTATGATATTTTTTTTAACGATAAATCTATTGACATCAATTTTACATTATTATTTTTTAAAAATTTTTAATAGTTAAAGTTAAAAAGTTTAACTTAACACTATACTAAAAATGTTTATATTTTGGCACAGAAGGAATGCTTCTTTATTAAAGAACGGAGCCGGGTGATGGGGGTGATGGGGATTGGTTTGGTGGTCGTACACGTAGTGGGTTGTGCCGCTCGGGCGAATCGGTCGCCGTTGCGTCTGCCGCCAGCAAGTCTCCGCTCTCCGGGTCGCTAACAACTGTGAGCTCTCTCTCTCTCCTCTGTACTACGCGGTACGCGGTTCGGTGTACTGGCCAGATCCACCCGATTTCTCTTCTTTTTCAGCTCGAAACCGTATTGTTCCCAGTCCTGCTTGGGTTTTTGGTCTTTTGGAGGGGGCGTCGCCGTGTGTCGCTTTTAGCAGCCGTGACGTGCTGCTGGATTTGGTCCCTATTTTTTGTTAGGGCCCGTTTAGTTCCCTAAAAATTTTTCCAAAAAAATCATATTAAATCTTTAGACACATGCATGAAATATTAAATATAGATAAAAAGTAAAACTAATTGTATAGTTATGGAGGAAATCGCGAGACGAATCATTTAAGCCTAATTAGTCCATGATTAGCTATAAGTGCTACAGTAACCCACATGTGCTAATGACGGCTTAATTAGTCTAAAAAGATTCGTCTCGCGGTTTCCAGGCGAGTTCTGAAATTAGTTTTTTCATTCGTGTCTGAAAACCCCTTCCGACATCCGGTCAAACGTTCGATATGACACCCAAAAATTTCCTTTTCCCCAACTAAACACACCCTAAGTTAATCCATGCGTTTACAACTCTCGTTTAGCAGGCGGGGGAGGGGATTAGAGCAAGTATAATAGTGAGCTATAAGCTTACTATAAACTTATGTGGAGGAGAGAGGTAACAAAAAAAAATCAAAGGTGTTGGCTCTCATGCAAGAGCTAGCTTAACACAAACTCCAAGACAAAAATAATAAATGTATAAGTGAGAGATAGAGATAGGAAAAGAAAAATTATAGCCAACCTTATAGCTAATCTATTATATGTTGCTTTAAAATGGGCTAATACTCCCTCCGTCCCACAATATAAGGGATTTTAGTTATTTTGCTTGCAACGTTTGACCACTCGTCTTATTCAAATTTTTTTTTGCAAATATAAAAACGAAAAGTTGTGCTTAAAGTAGTGTAGATAATAAAGTAAGTCACAAATAAAATAATTAATAATTTCAAAAAATTTTAAATAAAACGAGTGGTCAAACATTGTAAGAAAAACTTAAAATCCCTTATATTATAAGATAGAGGGAGTAGTAGTCTACTAGATAGTGAGCTCTACTATTATTATCTTGCTCTTTGCTCTTGCTCTTAGTCTCCTCTAGACTTCTAGTATCTTTTCGTGGCTTTCAGTGACAGTGTGTGGGGATCATGACGACGACTCCGCGTAGTAGTAGGTGGAGTCGTGTGGATGAACGAGCTGAGGTGGTAGCAGCACACTGCGGTAATTGCCGATTGGAGGTTGACGATTGCTGGGTCAGGGGCTGTTGGGCTGTAGGGACACAGGATCCACAGGAGGAGGCGAGCGGACCGGTGCTTTCGTCGACGCGTCAGGGTGTGATACGGGCAATCGAATTGCTTCACGTTTTCTGGTTCGGCGTGATAGGACGATTTGATGGATCTGCGGACCAGTGCGTTACATGGCTCACAAGGAGCCATGTGGTTCTTTCCTGTTCTGAGGGGAGGCCTCGTCCGTCGTTGCCTCGTTGGCGGTTGCTCCATCAGCGTGCGTGTGAGATCTGTGCAGGGCACGTCCTCCCCTCATGATGGTACGAGCGTGATGCAACAGTAGGCTGGTCGTGGTGCCTTCTCTCTTCACAAATGGTCCCTTGTGAGCTGCTATGAATAATTCCATCTATACTTATGTCTGGAAACACCGTGCTTTGGACCAAAGAAAAAGTTCTCTTTTTTTTTCATTTTTGTGATTACAATGAAATCGCTGGCCAGCAGGTCCAGGACAACATCAGGGGGCTCCATTAAAGCAACCTGGAGATTCCTCATGAGCTAGGGTTAGAACCCAACATGGACATGGCAATGGCATGAACCACTTGGTTACAGTTACACACTTGCACCGACAATAGAAAACACGAGAACTACTGTAAACTGAAGAACATATTCAGCACCTTTTGAATACGAACAGGGCGTCGTTAAGCTGAGATATCAAAAGAATCCCCTTCAGTCGCATTCTTCAGGATCACAGAATTGGGTTCAACTAACAATATTCTAACGCCCAGATTCGTCGCTGTTTCCGAACCCTTGATACAGGATATCAACCAGATTACAACTCAAACGTGATCACGGATCATAAAACAAACTCAAGATGCTGAAAGGAAGACACGCCATCAAGATTTATTGTGAGAATACCCTGACCCGGCAACTGCCATCTTGTCCCCATCTCGTTAACTTTCTAATTCTCCACCCTGAACGCTTTAACATACTATCTGCTCGACTTCTGGTAGCATTCGCCAACAAACCAATTCATTTGCGGTTTTGTTCACTTCCCCTTCTCTGATGCTCAATGGATATACAATAAAAGCAATAGTAGAGTTTGTGCTTCTGTTCACTTCCCTTTCTCTGATGCACAACAAATACAATAAAAGCAAGGATATAGTTTTTGTCATCCAAGCACACTGATCCAGGACCAAATCACCACGTGACAGTGGATTGAAATTACTCAACCAACATACATGTATCATGTATGGTCCAATATGAGTGAGCATGCAGAGGGCAGGTAGGGTTTGCATTCTGCCAAGGTCTATTTGCGATGCACCGACCCAACAGCAGAAGACTGCAAACACTGCATGGTCTACATCCTTCAGAAAGAGGGTTTATGATTAATCAGCATGGCTCAAACGGCCATGTTTATGGTTCACGTCAAACACTTTGTAAGCTAGAACTGTAGTTATGTTATTCTGAATCACAAGAGGAAAAAACCCTGGTCACTTCCATCATTAAGTGAAGTTAGTGAATCACCAACACCCTCGTTGCAGTATTTTTCTGAATGTGTTACTTGCCCATCAATATTTGCAGCATGTTTCTGGATATATTACTAGCCCATGAATATACACGTGAACTAGAAACACATCATGCAGCCCTGTTTGAACAACTCGAATCACATCTCCTCTAAGTGAAGGTAAGATCCAAAGAACTGAAAGATCTCCAAGATATCTCTCCAACCCCTCTAACCAACCAAGCTAATATCATGAAGGAATAATAAACAACGGATCATCAAGTTATGGCTTCAATGCGCACCCAAGAACCTACCCAAGAACCTACACAAACTGACCCCCATTCTGCCCTGTCATCAACAAGATGAAAATCATGAAACATAACCTCATCGTACTCTTTTCCCTTCCTCGTCACTTATTTTTCACGCCTGTGCTTGGGCTTTGTATCAGTACTGCTATCTTTGAGAAGTAATATATTCAGGTGGACCATCGCGGTCTTCAATTTACTAAATAAAGACTGGGGATCAGCATCAACTCCACTGGAATCTCGAGAGCAACATCTCTCAGAGCACAGAATTAGTAGCCAAAGGGAACTGATTTACTGAACACTTGATAATCATCTTGGTGCAAACAAGTACCATGTTTCGTGCCTTCATTAAGAATTATTGGAAGCAGATGCAGTCAGCAAGATGCCATCTTACTCTAGTAATTATCGAGCAATTCAGCAGTGCTCATTAGGGCAAATGTTCCACTCATAGCATAACCAGATCAAACATATAATCCATGGTGCCTGAAACAAATCACATTACAGTTACAAATCAACATAACAAGTGTAGTTGTTGGCCTAATAACTACCTCATGATAATTGGACTTGTGCGAGTTGTAATTGCTGATAGGCTACAAGCATTGGAAAAAAACATTTTACAAACTGAAGAAGGGAAATATCATAACTATTTGTTAATAATTTGATGTTCTTTTAGAGGGATATAATTTGAAGCTCTGGGACAGTAACTATGAAGGATGAAATATGTAGTCTCAGGATCTCATTGGAAGTTTTGCTAAGCATAATTAGTATTTTATCTATATTATTAGTTACCCAAAAACATGCTTTTTAGGATCTTGCACAAACATCGACTGACTGCAAAAGCCATAGTGCCTACACTGAATATCTTAATTAGCACCATGTGATTTCAGCTTGTCATGGGTAAAAAGTAAACCATAATAACAACATTGAATATCTTAATCAGATTCAAAATCATAGAGACATGTATTTGGCAACAAATTTTGAAAGCAGCAATGACATGCATTTGAAAATGGAGGGAATATATTATATACATGATATGTCAAGTACAAACACCTTCAGGGCACAACTCTAGAACCTCACTCTATATCCAGAAAGCAGTGCTGGAATATAAGCTAATGTTGCGTGCATTTGTAGTTTGGATTGAATTGAGCTTGAAAGACATTTAATTAAAATATTTCCATCCATATTAATCTAAACAAAATCTCACAAAATTATTTCTCATTAGTATATAATTTCAGCACTAAGTATTCATCTTACACGGGTGATGATGTTTTCTTTGATATGTCTGCTTGACTTGTATATAGACTTATAGAGGAACCTGAACTTCAAGTACATAAACTTCTACATGATTTCAGTAATTCCAAGCTAATTAACTAGTAAGCCAACAGCAAATAAGTTCCCCTCATACCATATTGAACTTACTCCCGTCGTACCAAGGGCCCTGGCCTTCCCTAGTACCACATCATACTACTAGCCCCCATCATGTAATCATCGGCCGCAGCAAAGAAATTTGTCCTACCTCCCAAAGCGTGTGACCTAGGTTTGAATCCTAGGTTAAGCAGGTTAAACAACCTCTTTTGGAATAACGAATCTAACCATTATTATACCTCAAAAGGGACAATAAAATATCTTGTGAATTTCACTGTATAGCATCACTTACCACCATAGAAAGTACATAAAAAATGCTACTTGGATGCATAGGGCTACAGAAATTCATAAACAATCTAGTTTGCCATATGAGAAATTACCTTTTAGGGAGATCAAGAAAACAATATTATCATTGATGACAGCTTGTTAGTGCCGATGAGCTCCATGTAGACTATGTTGTGTACTGAAAGCAAGAAAGTGGAACATGTCAGGTGCAGCACAAAAGAAAAAAAAATGTGCAGGGAATAACACTCAATCCACTAAGAAGAACAATAGCACCACATGATACTTAAAAGCAAAACTCAACTGTATTTGAGTATCTATTCAGTTAGCTGCAAGACTGCAAGGTACGACCGTTTGAATCTAAACCAAACTGTTATATATCAGGGAATATCCTCTTCGAAGAAGGGACAAAAGATATACTTGTCATTGTCGTACATTACAGAATTGTCTCATCAGCAAATCAAACAAGCTCCAAATACCCCTACCAAAATTTGGTAAAGTTTAACATGTTGTAAGATAGAAAGTTGTTAAATGGTATTATTTGGTCTTTGCCCAAAAAAGGAGGGGTCATAAATTGCCTCAAGAACAAGGATTGCTCAAATCTTCCAAGGCTAAATGGAAATTGTCTAAAACTTATCCATAATGCTTTAGATATGATCTCATCCTCACATCAAATTCTTTGCAATTATAATAGGAAACATATTAAGTGATAGAAATAATATGGAAGGCCAACGGCTATTCAAATTGATGGGAGCTAATATAGGGAAGTTATTATTAGGGCAGTCCCAATACTCCACCTAGGATGGTTTCCACAGTATTAAATGAGAAGCCACGTAGGATTTGTGATGTGGCAAGAGATTTAATGAAGAGAAGGAAACTAGGTCTTACATGAGACATGGTTTCTGCACAAACATTCAAGATATTATGAGAGAGGAATGGAATCAAATCAGCGAATTGAATGAGTAGTGTGCGCATTGGAATGCCATTAGCTCAGAACTTCCTATTACTACTGATAGTATCTAGCACTCGTACTTAAATGTGGAATACAGAGGATCAAAGGGCTATTCACCAATCTTGGCATTATTTGCTTAAACCTTCTGAGCTAATGGAAGTTATTTCTATAACTTTCTGATAGCGCTTTAGATATGATATCATCCTCACATCAACTTCAAATTATGCCAAGAAATATATTTTTTGAGCAGAATGCTAAGAAATATATTAAGTGAAATGCAATATGAAGGTCCAAGTGTCATTTCAATCAATACAATTGAAGGGAAGTTCTTAGGTGAAATGAGAATGGGTAATGGAAGACAATGAAGTGGTTCACTAAATTTATTGGTACTATTTGCTTTTGCAACAGTAAATTTCATAAAACTTCACCTACCTATCTTACTAACTTCTAAAACCCAGTATGCAACCGTGCCACATCATCACCCATTAGCAATTATTATCTAAAGTATTCTAAATCACATGCAAGTGTGCCACATCATCACTCACTAGCAATTATTATCTAGAGTATTTTAAATATCATGCAAACATGACATATCATTTACAATTTTATTGTATTTTTAGAACTCAATATGTAAGCAATGACAAATCATTATCTCCACATCATTTAAACATAACATCTATCATTTCTATATTATATAACATGCATTCATCCACATATCCCGCAGCAAAGCGCAGAGTATCAACTAGTTATGATCTAAGTTGCACAAAACCACAAGGATTTTGATACGTAGCACATAACCCAGGTTTATGGTCCTAAAGTTTTACAGAAGCACGTTGTTAACTAATTTGACATACTCCCACGTTAAAATTTAAAAATATCATACTTACATGGATGTAACATTCATATGATGGATATAGAACTCATAAATTTGAGATGTAACTTAATCCTATTTTTGACTGGATTTATGTCGTGCCAATCCAACATATGCATTTTTTTTATTTTGAGTTTTTCTATCTATTTTTTTTCTTACCATTGTATTTCCATTGACAAAGGCCTATGCCCAAAAGTGATGAATCACTTGTCCCCTTGTCTATAGGGACATTGCGGTATACTTGTAGAACTAAAAAGTGTGGTGCATTAAGGTCAAAATGACCAATAGTGTAGTTTTGTAAAACTTTATGGCCAAAATATCTAGGGTTATGTGCCACGTGTCAAAATCCATGTGGTTTGTGCAACTCAGACCATAATACCTGTGATTAGGTGAAATTTACTCTCTTTTTTTTTAAAAAAAAGATATTTCACCACTTGAACATCAAGTCAATCAAATCTTTCGAAGCTAGATGGAAATTGTTAAGTCAATTTTTAAGTGTAACTAAGGCTCCACATATTATTCTCTAACTAAAAATGATGGTATATATTAGCTTTAGTCAAATGAAAGGAGGGAACATAATTTCATCCTCTTCCCAAAAAAGTTAAGTCTCGTTGTTGCTCTATAAATTATACTCTTTGGCTCAAAGTAAGGTACTTAATATGGTCATCACAAATACTCCCACCATTTTGCAATATATGCATGTTTAAAGGTATGTTCATTTTGGAAAAAAAGGATATTACCCTTGGCATGGTATCATCACCATGCAAGGCCATGTTAAGAATTTTGAGTGCAAAGTGTTTACATTTAGGAACAAGTCTACTTAAATTCCTAGACCTTATAACTAGACATCATACATTTCACCAACTTGATTCCAGTTCACTCTTATTGCCAATTGATGCCATGACGTCAAATATAAGGCTGGTTTGCCATGTTAGTTTAGATTGAGATGCTAGCCCAATCATCAAATGAAGAGCTTACCTGCTAAGCTCCATTGGTTCCATCCATATCTCTTTAGTCCCAAATTGTTGCCTTCATGTCCTCTATGCACAATAAAAGTTGCAAGGGATGCCACACTCTCCTAGGGCCTAAGCTGCCCTACCCCACAGAAAGGTTAAAACATAATTCCTGGTATGGTCATCAAGTATTTGCACATAATAAGCATGAGAAGTACAAAACTTTGCCATAGCTAGACCCGGTTTATGTTAGATTTATATTCTATCTGTTTGAGCAAATGATATTGAGCTATGATTGTGTCATCTTTAAATAATAAGAGAGGCTCTCATGATCAAGGATGCGACAAATGCTTGGATAATCTATAAAGGCAATAGAGGATCTTGTCAATACCTTCAACTATTTTTCAAGTTCAACACGTCATCTTGGTCTCCTAAGATGATACTAATTTCTAATGGGCACAACTTCATGAAAACTCCAAATTGGATGATCTTTGACTTCATGTAAATCTTATCTCATCATCTTTCCTACACAACCGGTCTGATCTCAAAATTCATTTTTAGCACTTCAAGGTCATTAAAAAAACAATATTGTTGATGGAACAAGTCAAACTTAGGGCTTATGCCTTGTAATAGACTACCCACCTTATGCATGCAATGCCACACCTCCATGACCTAGAACACATCTGTAACACCCCAGCTTGTCTTGTTTGAAGCCTATAGGAGTGGTGTGGCCTAGAAGTGGTGGTTTAGTACCACCTTGGATGTTTAGGTGGGTGCCGGTCAGTTTATAAGCCTTGGTGCTCTAACTATGGTAAACCTAGGTTAATCCTTTTACACGAATCGATGACAAAAGTAGAAGTGAGGTACTATGTGAACATGGGCTCGCTCTATGTGAGAGCGGACTAATGCGGATTTTGGAGGCTAGGTGTCATAGATGACATCAGAGTATAAACCTTCGTTATATGTTTCATGTTCATTGGGCTACAGTCTGCATCAGAAGGGTTTCCGGGCTACATGCAGTGCGCTTATGAGGCCTTAGCCCTTAAGGGGGATAATTGTAACAAAGTAGTTGTATTGGCTGAAGTGGCCCAGAAGTGGTTGTAGTGGCTTGGAAGTTTAGGTCTCTTTTTTCCATTATATATACTCCCTACATCCCAAAAAGACTTAGATTTCTGGCTATTGACTTGTCTAGAACTAAAGTCTTTTTTTGGGAAGGATGTTACAGCCACTTCATCAACTATGCATTCATCAATCCAAGCTAGAGTTATCCCCTCACCAAAAGAACGGTGTTAACACCAAAATTTGGTAAGATTCTTTAGTGGATTCGGTCAGGGAAAGAATACAATCAGCCGATGCAAAGTTTATCCAGAAGAGACCGAGTTTAAGAAGAAATCGTGAAGACCATGACATGGCAACTTGATTTATCTAATAATTAGGTAGGGTTTAGTAATTTTCCTTTTTATGCTTAGAAAAGTGTTTAGTGTTCGATCAGGACTTGTATCTTTTACTTTATCTTTAAAAAAGTCTGAGTTGTATCCAATAAGGACAAGTATCTACCGATGGGTATAAATATGTACACCCAAGGACAATGTAAATTATCTCTCGATCCAACTTTCAGCGCATTGCCACCCTCTTTTCCGAGGTATTATCACCGGCGGAACATGGCACCAAACGCGGGGCTACATCGCTTCGATCTCCGGCGAAGGGGTAAGCCCTTAAGTTCCGCTGGCCCTGGCAATTGTATCGGCTATATTGGCATTGTTCAAGGCTATGCTTCGATCTCTTCAATTGCTCTGGTTCAGTTGGTATATTTGTCTACCCTATATTTCAATTCTGTTTTTAATTGCACTGTGTTTTGAGATGCATCGGTATAGTTGGGATGGTCTCCGTTAGGTCCGATTTTCTGTCTTATTCGATATATCTCTACAACCACAATATTGTTTTAAATAGATTTGTTATAACCATCATGTTAGCATAGATCAAATTGACTTATCTAGCTTATTTGATCAGACTAATCTAGAACTGTCTCGGTTGGGTCCGATCTTCTATATGACTGCTGATAATCTAAGTCTTGCTAAATTCATATATTTGTGCTACGTTTTTATCGGAGTGCTATCCGATAAGTTATTTTTGCATTGGACTTCCATCCGATGTATGTTTTAACCATCGAGCCTACATTTAATATTCTGTATCAATATTGGTCGATTGGCTCATTAGACATCTACTTCATCATATTATAATCGGTTGATTGGATTGTTTGTTAAAGTTCTTCCATTGTCATTATCTAAGTGTCAGAATCTACATTGAATATATAGCCGATTGTTCAAAACCCTATCAACGTCGGTTAGTATCGCTACATCAACTTATTGGCCGATCGGCTCTTTGATCATCAATTTATCCATCTTGTCAGTTGCAGGATCAAACTGACTGGCACGCCCGCACCTCATCTAAATCTAGGACCTGCACTGGAGTCAAGCAAATCTCTCGGGCCTTCGTGTGAGTGACGAAATTTTACGTCAACAACCAGGCCACAACAAAAGGCATCATTAGTTGGATCAAAGACTTTGTTGCATGATGAAAGTTTTAGTTATGTATATTTCATCTACCATCGTCTACCATATATAGTTGTATCGCTTTTTCTCATCGCCAAACCCTAGTTCCGAACCTCATAATTTTCATACAGTTTTGCGTTGGTTGAGTTTAGCCCGCTCATCATGTCCAAGTTTAGTTACATTAGGGTTAGGTATTTCCATCATTGTCGTCATCAACATCATATTTGATCAAAGTGAGAATTATCCCTTCAATAGAAGATCAGGTAGTGTGAGCGTCGTCAATTCCACCCTTGTCCACGTTGCAATGAATGGCATCACACATAACATGAGCCAACCTCTTTCTTTGTGGAATGTGGTAGGCATGGAGTTGCTCATTGTACACTTGTGTGTAGATGCAATAGTCACTAATAACATTTGGATTCCATTTTGACCTTACCAATAAGTTGTTTAACTAGAGTCAACTATGTTATACAATCTTGGTGGTATCACCCAATGACATCTAGACCGCCTAGATTTGTACAATTGATCTAGCAACACTTGAAGCAAACAATTCGGAAGCGCGTACCTTTGTTGACAAGGTTCAACAAGATGGCTACACCCCCCAAGAGCTGAGATAGGCGACTTCATCCCTTCGATTTATTCGATGCTTGGGTTCAACTTGTTTTAGGTTACATTTATACCACAAATACAGTAATCCAACTCAACTCAAACTGTTGCACCATAATTTTATACGAACACAAGTTTGTACAGGGCTGACCCCATCTTTCTTTCACATCATTTCATCTAGGAGCAAATCGCCTATCACTTGGTCTATCAACCCCTTGGTCATGACAAGGGTCGCTATGGTCCATCAACCACCTATCTTGTTTGAGTTGTACTTAAGAGCAAGTTTAATAGTATAGCCAACTACTAGCTCCAAATCATCTATAGTCAATTTAATAGCCAATTCATACAATAGTTACCTACTACACTATTAATATATGATCCCACCTGTCATACACACATTTCGTCTTGGAGTCAGTGCTGCAGCTGGCTACAAATTTGTAGTCTGTTGCTCTTCTCTCTCCTCTTTTCTCTCCTCTCCTCTTTTCTCTCCTTAAAATATGTTTATAGCTGACTTATAGTCTGCTATTGTACCCACTCTAACAAAGTATCGCATAAAACTTTAGGAGATCCCTACTACTTGAGGTAATGATCATATGAATGCCCAAGTGGAAATTACAAAGTGCCCCAACCTAAATCCACACATATACAATCAATAGATATATTCATATTCTTGAGGCAATCTTTTCATGTGAAGTCCATTAAATTACCACGTTAGCCATTAAGGTACACAACTTAACATTTCCTTGATATGGATTCATCTACACATACTACACAAAGAAAAGCACAAACGAAGCAAAATCCTACATTCAAGGACTATTACTTTCAGTTCATACCATAAAAGGGTCTATTCATACTTCACACATTAATTTTACGCAAGAAGGTTAAACCATCTTGGTGTTTGCTCGGATTCATCACAGCGTCGTACCATGCAAAATATCCACGAGTGACGAAGACATATATACCTTTCCCCTTAGGGAAATCTCTACCTTCCTTACAACACCCATATGGCCATATCGGTGTTTACCTTTACCCGAATTAAAAAGCATTAAATGCCCCCAAACCCTTTTTTTTCAAATAAGTTAGCTCAATAGAATTCTTTACCTATTTTTTAGGCAATCATCCTTGAGGATATTATTATCATAGTTATTGAGACCAGACCGACCATCAAACCGGCCAGGCCCTCGGTTCGATGGTTCACTGGTTTGATTGGTTGAACCGTATGTTCAAAGCGGTTCAGTAAGGTAAATATATAACTGATTCACTCTAGACACAAACAACAACATGGCTTGGTGGTTGGTGCGCCATGACTCCATTCAACCCATCCTAGGTTCGAATCCCACCATACACCCATTTTTCCTATATTTTCTCCTCATCCATGCGTGCACGTGGTCTTCAGAGTAGCATCTCACGGTTGAGCGCTCTAGTGCCAGTTTTCTGACCGGCTTTTAAGCGGTTTTCGAAAAAACCAGGCGGCCCAACCGGTCCGGTTTTTTCGGTCCAACCGCCGGTCCGGTCCGGTCCTAATAACTATGCTTATTATTGACTAAGAGTTCCACATCATGCTTCACATATCTCACAATACCCTACCAACCACACTAACGTCTACATGTAAGAGGGCTCTTGTTAAGGGTCTACACAAGTATTTTAGAGAAGAAAGACATAAGGGAGCAAGATTCTTGATTTCAATGGACCAACCAAGTAATCGCCATCGGATGAACAAGGGCTCTAAGCACAAAAGGAAATAGAAGATATTCTCCCATGCTGTACTTTGGCACCAAATACCAATTGAAAATTGGAACTTGGAAGTGGTGTACTGAGTCACAACACGTGGAATGTATTGGACACATGATAAGAATCTCGCCAATTAACTTTCAATCCCTTGCACCATGGGGTTAAATTTGTATATATACTATATGCTCACCCTATAAAATGAGGCTAGGGCATCATATGGCCAATTTCTACACTTCTCTTTCCACACCCTCTTGTCCACTTTACTAACACAAATTATGTGGACATTACATTTAAACAGGGTATTACATTTTAAGCAAGACATTTTTTTCACCAAACAGAACAAACAGCATTAGAAGCATCATTCCTTAACCCATAGATTAACCACACATGCAATAAAGATTCTGTCTTGGTTGCATTAGATCTCCTCTCAGCTCACATGCAAAAACATATTAAATTAAACATCCACCATGTTAAGATGCTGCTAGGGAGCCCAGACTGAAGTCTACAAAACCAAACAGGTTCATGTAACAGAGTACCTTACTCAAAACATCTAGCACAGCAACAAAACGCATTGGTAGGCCAGCAGGCTCAAACCCCATCTCTTCAATGTTGTAGCTCATAATTAGAAGCCTGGATCTCATGATGTGCGATAACGATCAACATATGCCTGTGGCAAAAATCATACAGAAGTCAAACATATAATCAATAATCAGAAGATGTGCCATTCACCAACAAATTCAAGATATTTTACCTTCACAAGTTTTTCTATCTTTGGTGCAGAGGCTGTTATATAAGTAGTTATCGCCTTCTCAGTCTCTGGCATCTGATTTGGCTCAAGTGAAGCAAAAATCTTATCAACAGATTTTTTCACAATCAGTTTATGAGCCTCTTTACTCAAATTGCCTTCCTTCCAGATTGGTTTCACCAGCTCCTTTACATGCTCCACCAAATGAAAACGAAAGTCTGATTTCTCATTGTTAAGTGATGCATCATTTTTCCTTTCACAGGTTTTCACCCTATTATCACCATCCAGGCTAGAGCTGTGTCCCCTATCATATGAAATCAAACCAAAATCATTTGATCCTTTAGCAGATACATTCCTTGCCAACTTGTCAGCAAAAGTCAATGGTTTTTCAAGACTTCCCCCTCTTATAACATTCGTATCTACATGTTGGCTTGAAATGCTGCAGGATATGTTTGAGGTCTTCAGATTATTTAAACTTTCAACTTTGGGAGGGTCGATACTGTCGACAAGTGGGTCATACTGACTTTTTGAAGGTGATGTACTGCCAGGAAAATCAGGAAAATTAAAAGAAGGTACAAAAGGCACTGAAGTTATCCAAACCTCATCCTTGATTGGGGAAAGTTTCCCAGCCGATGCTACCACAGGTTGAGATGAACTGCTCACATGTAATGTAGACCTAGAGGTACCACCCTTGTCAAAATCAGCACCTTTATGGTGACTGGCATCCTTATCAGGTGTTAATTGATGAAGAGGCAGGGTTCCATGGTGAGAAGTTGCTCGGAGAGACTGATTAACCAAGAAAAAATCAGAGCTGTCATGACCTTGCTTTCTGAATCCTGTATAACTATTCAAACTGTATGAGACATGGCTTGAACTTTTTTCTTCCTGATGTTTGTGAGGAAGATTCTCTGTTGCTCCACCATAAGCTGACAACTTCTTGCTATATTGGTGAGGATCTAATGAAATAGTTGAGTCAAACGGTTGATACCGATAATCAGGCTTTAAGGGGTTCTTTTCAAGGTAAGATCTTGATAGATGTGAATCCCTTGGACTGTCACCCTTGGCCACTTCAAACTGCAGCTTTCCTCCATCTAGGCGCAATCTAGAATAGGCACCCATGTCATTCAAACAGTTGTTAGTGCCCAAACTAATTTGATGTCCCATGAAATAAGGTTCATGATTCTTCTCTTGAACTACTGGAAGCTGAACCACCTCATTAGTAGGATTTGCAGTCAATGAACCACCAATTTTGAAACCATGCGAAGCCTTTAGCATGTGACAACTATGTTTAACAACGGGATGTGTCAACCCCCTATTATCTTCACCATATGCATGAACAAGGGTCCTATATATCTCATGTTGGGATGACCCCGCTGAATTTTTGAACTGGTGCTCTTTTGAGCTGGATGGATGTTGTATTTCAGATCCTTCTCCAGTGCCTGAACACAGCAGATAAGGAGCAACCAAAAGTGTTTAGATTGACAGAGTGATCATAAGTTCACAGCTACATGATATTCTTCAGCTTATTCTAATGAAAAAGTTCATACCTCCATGATTTCCATAAACCTGGTTATCAGAACCAGATACCTCCCCTTCATGAAGAAAAGTGCAACTCTTCCCATTCTTGCATCGCCCTTGAGCATAAAAGGTACAGGTACGCTTTCTGGTTTTGTTCTTCATATCTCCACCAGGAGATGAACTCCCAAATCGTTGCGAACTAGTGACAAAATATATTATTTTTAAGATGTGATACAGAAAGAAGTATGTTTTAGTCAAACATCACAGAAAATAAGAAATTTTCTTCTAAATTTCAAAATTCCTAGTGCAGTAGCACATACCTCAAAGCATTAGAATCAGGTGGGCTTTGTGATACATGACCACCATGCAAATGAAGACCTCCAGTTTTGGATGTATCATCAATGGTAGGAGGTACAGGATCATTCCCAGCTTTCTTCTGATATTTTTCATCGCCATGAAGCTGCAGTGCTGGTTTCTTCTCAGCAGCAATCACTCCAACAAAACCTAGATGATGAGTGGTAAGTATGAGATGTGTGTGCATGTGTGTTACACAAATAAAAATGGACATGTGTGTGCGTGCGCGCGTGTGTGTTACACAAATAAAAAAAATGGATGTGTGTGTGTTACACAAATAAATAAATGGACGTGTGTGTGTGTGTGTGTGTTACACAAATAAAAAAATGGACGTGTGTGTGTTACACAAATAAAAATGGAGTGGGTGTTACACAAATAAAAATGGAGTGGACGATACACAAATAATAATGGACATATGAGGGGGGGGGTTGGGGTTCAATGCAGAGGAGCATCGCTATAATGGCAACAGATTAAAAAAAAACAAAGATGGATATAATTGAAGATGGAGGAAGATCGCATGAAGGAAGAAATCCGATGAACTATAAAATATAAATAATTGGAATATGGGTTAAATTTGGTATAGCACAATAGCACTATTCAAGTGGGACTATACATCTACAACTCCCATAATCCCAAAGAGACTGTAATATAGGTCAAGTTATTAGATTTGTCCACATCATCTTTTGTGAACCACAAGCTATTCAAACATAAACCAGCAAACTTCTTGTGATGAAACTATTATACAGAAACTTGCCATGCAATTCTACTAAACCTCAGTACACTAGTCTAGGGGAACTTCCAAGTTTTCTGTTGAGCACAAGGTTGCACAACAGTTAACCATTCCATTACACCACTTGAACAGTAATTACTTGATTAACATAAGGGAATGTATTGCAGCGATGAGGCATGAGGGTACACATTTGTTCTATTTGCAGTGTTAGTCAACTCTAAATCAACCATAATAAATTATTATGCACCTTCAATAAACAAACAATGTTGGATTCTTCACTAAGCTAGCAAGGAGTTGTTACCTTGGGATGTTGGAATATTTGGCTACAAAGAAAACAGATGCATCTTTGATAAAGTTCCTCCAAACAAACACAGATTGAGGATGCTTATGTCAGGACACTTTTGGAAGAGAGACATACAAAGAAATCTGTGCACTGTCTCCTGGATTGACTGCAGCTTGCGACATGGTGAAATAAACTGGTGTAATCTTGAGCAGTGTTGTTAAGGTGGCATGGCCGTTTAAGGCGACCCACCACTGCCTTAGCACTATAGTGCTGAGGCGTAAGGCGTTGGGACACCATATGAGATGGTTGAGGCGTGACCGCCTGATTAGTGGAGAATATGGTAGAGAAATTTGGAAGAGAAAAGGGGAAATTGGTAAAAGGCCCACTAAGCCAGGCAGCCAGCCAAATAAAGCCCATCATAGGTCTTCATACCCACGTGTTCTATGCCCTAAAGGCATCGTACTCCACCAGGCACCAGCCGCCATGATGAGCAGATGAGGCACTAGCCGCTGGCCACCTCCACATGACCTCAACATCTCTGCCTGCTACCACCGCCATTAGAGCTTGATGCCTTTGCTCGCCTCGTTGTCCACCGCTGATGGTGTCGCCAGAGATTCAAAGGCTGCAGCAAGCTGCAACAAAATCTGAAGGCAGTGGCATGGAATTTGCAACAGCAAGCCAGCTGCAGCGAGGAAGAAGGTGACTGCAAGCCAACTAGGGTTCTAGCCTTCTAGGATGACCTTACCCCCTTTTCTTCTTTCCCTTTCTCTACTAGTTTTGCCTGTAAGGCCTTCTTCTTTCCCTTTCTCCACTTGCTTCGCCTCTAAGGTGGAGGCAACATAAGGCAGAATGGATGCCTTGACCTCTGCTACCACCTTACCACTATAGCGACGCCATAGCAAGTTAGCAACAACACCTTAACAACCATGATCTTGAGCATAATTACAACTGCAACTAAATGCCTCAAAGATCATGCCATTCTGCTTCATTGCACAATGCATGCTTCCGGGCTACTATTACACCCAGCTACCATCTAATCGCTATTTGCGAATATCCGTAAATAGTACCGAGGATATCATATGCAAAGCATCTGTAACAAGCCAAGCTAATTGTACTCAGCAGCAGGACTTCATCCATCTATCTAGAGCAGCATAGCAAACCCAGAAGCATGGATACACACCAAAAGGCTCAATTTTATTGTCCTAAATAACAGGACGCCGAAGTACTAGCCCCCCCCCCCTCCCTCCTCTTATAACCCACAGCTATCAACCAACATGTCCCCAAATCATCTCCCCTTCACCCCTTCCACAAAAACAAAACAAGCATTAGCATCATCTCCCCTTCACCCCCTTCCACAAAAACAAAACAAGCATTAGCATCAACTCCCCTTCACCCCCTTCCACAAAACAAAACAAGCATTACCATCATCTCCCCTTCATCCCCTTCCACAAAAACAAAACAAGCATTAGCAGAACACATCATCCGGACGAGATACTAAGCGAAGAGCGCGCATCCCCAATCCGCATCTCCTACCCCGCACCATGCATGCACAAATCTAGCATTCTGGATAATCACACAGCAATCCAACCAAAAAAATCAACAGCAGATGAACCGATTGAAGCGTGCGTGCGGAGGGCGATCACGGCGGTATACCGTTGGGATCCTTGGAGTTGGGCGACGGGTCCCTGGCCCTCTTCGTCGTCCCCACGCCCACCCGCCCGGCCTTCGCGGCCTCGCCCGCCGCCGGCAGCCCGGCGCCCCGCCCGCCGCCCGCCATCCGGATGCTTCCCAGCCGCGGCCGCGGCCGACGACGCCGCGGCGGCGAGAAAGGGCTCGGGTGGATGGAGGGGCGGCGACCCGATGCGGCGGCGGCGAGGTGTTTGGGGAGGAGGGGATTGGGAGCAAAAACCTCGCCGTCCGCTTCAGTTCTCTCCCTCGCTCTTCTCGCTCTCGCTCTCGGAGACGCTCCCCTTTCCACACGTTACTTTCGCTGCTTCCTTGGGCTTTTTTTGCCACGGCGGCGATGATGTCGCCTCTCCCACTCGGATCCATCGGCTGTTATATAGAGGGGCCCATTTATTGCCAATGTAACAATGTTGTAGTAAAAATACATAGGAGTGAATTGTGGAGTACTCTCGACAAGTACCATCTCCATAACTTTTGAATAATTTTTCGTTATGCAACATGTTTCGAAATAAAATATTTCCAAATACAAGTTAAAGACGAATATTGAGATATAAGCATGTTACAATCAAATATGAATATATGGGGAAAATAGTATATATATACATGTTTTAAGATATCCGGTGCTACTGAAGGGGAGGGTGTAAGCATAAAATAGTCTATGTAGCATACGATATTATTGCCTGTGGAGATTGTGGGCAAGGGTTGAATAAACGGTTACTCACTAGCGCAAAGTAGAACCGCTAGTAAAAGGGTAGCTATTGATTGACCCGTTAAGAATGATAAAACTTGTGCTATGATGTTACTTGTGTAGCTAGCGACTAAGAAGGAAGTTCCTATGTACCAAACTTACTGGGAGTTGAAACGACACTACTGGTTTTAATATTAAATAATGTAACTACAGTACTATATACAATTACTCGTACCTTATTAATGACTTGGTGATCATTTAATGTGAAGGTAACTTTATATATTGTTCTGTGATTTTTATGTTTATTGTTAACTCTTCACATTAGTTGCATTATTGGATTGAAAGCATAGATTCTTTTGGTGTTTCCTTTTCGACATCAACACTAGCTAACTCTAGGGGAACATATAATAGCTTTCAACTAGGCTCAACCATAGAGCATTGTTCTGTTGCAAGATAGTTAGGGCTTTTTTAACTATAGGACTAGCGCGATGGACTTTTAACCATAATGGTGGATAATGAGCTATATTTAAAAGCACAAAAATACTAAGTAACGTGAGAAGTTATCGATTATTAATTTTGCAAGTAATAGACAAATCCAAGCCAATAATCAAGCTAATGTAGGATAGACGGTGGTACAGGACTCAAATGAAAAAAGAGTAAGAGCTCTTTTATTTCATACGCCAAATTATTTTTTAGGCCAAACCGCTCTTGTGTTGAAGAAGAGGATTGTCAAAAATTATAAGGAAAACCGAACCCGGAAACTTTATAACTCGGTTAACTCAAGAAACACAAGTGAAAACCAATGTGGAGAACAAAAAGAAAATAATTATAGACGACATATCACCGTGTGAACTAAAAGACTGGTACCTAGTACCTGATGCGTGTTGTCATAAGTTCGGCACAAGAAAAGCAACTCCGACTTTCTATGTCGAATCTCAGCCATAAAGCCCCTAAAATTCACTATAGATCCTATCTGAATCAAAGGAAACAAAAAAAAAAAGGGAGTTGAGTTTCCGGTGAAAATCCTACATTCCAACGGAAGTCTAAGAAATTGCCATTAGGGTTTTTGGAACGGAGAATTGGTTCATTGGCTGTCCATTGTAAATCTAAATCATCCTCTTATGGTTTCGGGAGAGAGAGAGAAACGAGACAATAGTTCGACAAAATTTTAGGGCCTCATATTTTTGCTTATGCTCATGCTTATCAGCCAAATTTTGAATTTTCAACCTTAAATTTGGAGTTGATTTTGAGGTTTTTTCATCGAAGTTTATTTTTCAACATTTGCTTTTAGATCGCTAAGAATACGTATATAAAAGTTTTATTCACAAATTACTTTCCGTTTGTAAATATGCCGTTTGGCTTATTCCGTGAATAAATGAAACGATGGGTCTGTTATAGCAGGTACAATAGCAGACTATAAGCCAGCTATAAACACGTATCGAGAAGATAAAAGAGGCGAGAGAAGAGCAGCAGGCTACAGATTTGTAGCCAGCTGTAGCACAGACTCCAAGATACAATGTGTGTATGATAGGTGAGATCATGTAAGTATATGTTTATAGTTAATTGTTATGAATTGGCTATTAAGTTGACTATAGGTGATTTGAACCTAGGCTCCCATCGGATGGCCTAATAAGCCCCAAAGAAAAAGCCAAATTTTAAATTTTCAAACTTAATTTGAGATATTTTCAACGTGGTTTCTTTTTTAGCATTGGCTTTTAAATCACCAAGAACACATATATAAAAGTTTTAACTCCAAAATCATTTTTATTCCCTAATAAGAAAAAAGCCAAATGGTGAAGCCTCTAGTAGTTAGCTGTCCTATTAAACTTGCTCTTACTCTGAAAGCTCCAATACAAACCCATCTCTCTTTGACGCGTATATAGCATTTAAGACATGCATTCATATGCCTTCGATCCAATTATCTTTTACGGGTTTGTTACATTCTCGAGTCTTCCATACATATTCATGTGACATTGATGTGTTTTTCACAATTCCTACTTTCTCCGTTTCACGATGTATATGTCTAGCATTTTCTACATTCATATTGAAGTTAATGAATCTAGATAGATATATATGTCTAGATTCATTAACATCAATATGAATATAGAAATGGTAGAATGACTTATATTGTGAAACGGAGGGAGCACTTGATTTTCCTTCATTCCAAGCAAAGCCCTAAAGATCTCGCTAACTTGATGAGTATCAACTGACTGTCTGACTCTTCCATCTTTCACCATGGATCTGCATATTTCTGAAGCGAGAGCTACGAGCCTCAGTTTTCATAAGCACATCTACATTTGGCCGTCATTATGAAGATGTTGGTTACGCCCTTGCAATTTACAACAATGATGTTTCCTGTTTGATCTATGCAAGTAGCAGAATCGCTGTTTCACTATTCGGCGGAATTCATTTTCTTGTGGTCCTTTTGCTGATCTTCACTCTTCAGACTCTGAAGCCTGAGCTCTGCCAATCGAAGTTTCTGCTGCCACCATTGTCAACTACTAACAAAATTTGAATAAGGCAGAAGAAAATTTGAATAATCTTTATCATCTCAACTTTCCTTATGGAAAACAGCTGAATCGACAATATTCAGAGAAGCAATGATACTCCTGTTTTTCTTGGTATAAAATAAAGTTTGGAGCTGGAAAAAAACTATTGGGCCTAGCCCGTTTAACCATTAGGCCTGAAAGTCCAATTATCTTACTCGGCCAGGTACAGCCCAGCCAAATGTAAATACATCCCATAAATGCTTCTCTACTTTTGCCAAGCTGGATAGTGGACATCACACAACCAACCGCTCCTGCCTCATGTGAAGAGTTTCAACTTTCAAATTACAAGGAAACCCTGCAAAATTCGCTCGGAGGATTCAAACATTCATCCGTTGAACGCAATTTCGAGCCCATCTCGATGTGGATCCCCAGCTCCACGTTGGATTAGATCTGGGTTGAAAATCTCGTGGGGAGTGTGAACCAAACCAAACCAAACACACCCCCGCGGTTACGAGCGGCGGCGCCGGGATGAAATCGGGGCCGCACATCCGCGTGAGGAGACCGCGGCGGCGGCGGTGGACGGACGGATGCACGCACGCACGCAGGCACGCGCGTACATAGGCCGCGCCGCAAGCCGTCCCGAGAATTGCACGACACAGAGGCAGGCAGGCAAAGGGCAGGGAGGGCGCCCCACCACCAGCACCACCATCGCGGCATTGCGTTTGCGTTGCCTTTGCTTTTCTTTTCCTCTCGCTCTCCGCCTCCTCCTCCTCTTATTGCCCCCGACTGCGAGTCGAGTCGCTTCCACCCACCTCACCTCCCTTCCCCCTCCTCGTGCTTGCTCCACGACGTCGCGGAGAAGGGGGCGCGCGCGCGGCGAGCGGGGAGGCGGGGAGGAGGCCGGAATGCCCGCGCAGAAGCGGCCGGCACCGGAGGCGGCGTCGGCTCCAGCGGGGGGAGACGGGCACGTGGAAGGAGGAGGTGCTGGTGGTGGTGGTGGCGCGGACGAGGACGCCCACCGCGGCGGGGAGCGCTCCCCGAAGGTGATGAACGGTGGCGGGCCGGAGAAGGAGAAGGAGCGGCGGGACGCTGGTGAGTTCCCAACGACGACGTCGTCCCGGGCGGGCCCCCGGTTGCGGCGGGAGCGGGGCGCCGACGACTCCGCGATGCGCGCGCATCGCGTTCTCTGTTTCGGTTCGGGTGTCGCTGAGTGGGTTCTGTGTTTGGTGGGCTTGGCAGATTCTGATGCGGAGGAAGAGGAGGAGGAGGCCGGCGGCGGCGGTGGTGGTGGAGGGGCCGACGAAGACCGCGACAGCCCGTCTTCGGAGAGCGACGGCGACATGGACGAGTAAGTAAGCCGTGGAACTTCCCTCTGCTCTCTCTGACTCCTTCCCCCCCACCCTCTCCCATCTTCCTGGCCCTGGGCTTCCTCTGGCCTCCGTCACGATTTGGCGTCGTCATCGCGCCGCCTCCCTCCCTGCGTGGTACCACTGGTTTGGCGGGGTGGCGGAGGGGGGCCGCCGTCGGGAGGTGCCTGGCGTAGCGAGCGGACGTCGTGGGGAGGTGCCTGGCCCAGCCGGCGGCTGCTTTGTTCGTACGCGTCGGCGTGAGCGCTCCTGCTGCTGCGTACGAGCGGTGGGATCTTTCGTGGTTTCGTGTCGGCTCATGTGCCGGCGGCGGTCGGTCGGTCCCTGTGAGTTGTTCTCGTTCGGCGAGCTGGCAGCACTGGCGGTTGCCGCGCCGCCTCGTCCCGCTTCCATCGCCGCCGAGGCATGGGATCTTGCCGTAGCATGCATGCTTTCGTCGTGTCGCGCGGCTCCGACGAGGCGCCGTGCTCGTGACGGCAAGTGCGGGGAGCGGCATCCAGGGTGGACCGCCGCGTGCCAAAGCTTATTATCATGCCGGAGCCGCCTGCGGCATCTGAACCGGCAGCCCTGCTCATCTCGGTTTCAGCTCTGTACTCAGTTCGCCGTCCTTCTCTCCTGAATCGTGCGCGACGACGGTCAACTCTATCGTGTGCTTGGGGCTTGTTAGTGCTGGCCTGACATCCAGGATCGCAATGATCTTACCATGCTTAGGCGCCCGTGCGAGCTCCACAGCCAGTCTGCTGCCCGTGCACCTGCGTAAGTTCCATGGAAATGCCAAGCTCTCGATGACAATAGGCAAATGGCATCGTCTAGCCAAGATCTCCCTATGGCGTTATCAGTTGTGTCACGTTTGCTGCCTTCGTCTGTACTGGGTACCTGTTCGTCATGTTTCCTTCAGTGCACTGGAAGAGTCCGTGTTTTTCTTGGTTATGAACTGTGATGTCAGAATATGAGTTTCTGATGTCTTTATTGCTATATCCTGACCTCTATGGCTGCCATCAGTCTTACACTGTTCCATTGCCTTAACTAAGCTTGTGGCACCAAATTGTTGCCGATCTCTCTCTTAGGCTCTATGACATATCATATAATTTACTATTCCATCTTCTGTTCTTAAGAGTCTTTCCTCTGCTCCTCCTCCAAAACCGTAAGGATCACTGCATAGTAGAGTAGATCAGAGTCCTTTTATTTTCTTTCCCCCGTTTTGAACTATGAATGCCTGTGCTCTGTTGTTAACTGTAGTTATTAGGTGCAAAACTTGCCCCTCAATAACACTATGAACAGTGCAATTTCCACTTAGAAAAGCATATTGCTATTAGAGATGCTTGATAGATCCTGATACGCACATTGTCACATTCACTCCCAATAGGTTTGCAGGCATAGTTACTTCAGTGTTTTTCGAGGGAGCCAATGCAGGGGTAGTCTTTTTACACCTTCTATAATAGTTGGTCCTGCATAGGTGCCTGCTTTGAATGTAGAAGTGTGCTTATTCAATCTGTCAAATGAGTCGACAAGTTTTCACTTAAGATTCCTTTTAAGCCCACTGCTGTTAATTGTAGTTGTTAATTGCAAAATGGCCCCTCAATTACACTATGAACAGTGCACATGAAAATCATATTGCTATTAGAGATGCTTGATAGATCCTGATACACACATTGTCAGATTCACTCCCGATAATTATGCAGACATAGTTACTTTAGTGTTTTTCGAGGAGCCAATGCAGTGGTTTTTTTTAGACCTTCTATTGGCATGTTCTTTTTTATATATAAAATAGTTGGTCCTGCATAGGTGTCTGCTCTGAAAGTATGCATTTTCTTTTTAGTCTGTCAAATATGAGTCAACAAGTTCTCACTTAATATTCCTTTTTAGCCTTCTGGTATAATCCTATTATGAACATTGCCTTCTAGGCTTCCACGAATGGTAACTATTTTCTTCACAGAAAATAATCTTGTTGTACACTTCTCTCTGAAACCGATGTGATGATGGATAATGAATGACTTGAATTTGCTGCTAATCAAAGCTTGAAACTGATGTATGAATATTGTTTTTCTCATACAGGTTTATACTAGTGAAATTAATGGATATACGGAAAGAAGTGCAGTGCCCTATATGCTTAGGTAAGGATGTGCTTTTGTCTAGTTACTTTCAGATCTAGAGAGAATATATTTACATTGTTCTGTGCATTTTCCTCTTTACAGCTTTACTTGTAATTTGATTCAATGTTATTATTTGGATGCTAAGTTTTTCTCCTACTATCTACTATAGAAGGTGAAACCATCAAAGTCAATGATCTACATGTTTTTGTAATGCAAGTATGCATATAGTTATTGTCCTCTGATAAATAAGGAGATATATAGAGAATATTTTACCTGATTTTACTTTGAAAAAGCTACATTAAGAAGCTTATATTCTTCACATGTTGCAAAATTTTATATAAGTGCAACCAGCTAGTTCTAATTATGAATCTAGGCTGAGCAAGATTCTCATATGTACAACTCTAAGTAGCACCTCTGTGCAAACTGTGCATACCTGATCATTTGCTTGTCTTATGGTCCTATTGCAGGCATTATCCGGAAGACAAGGACAGTTATGGAGTGTTTGCACCGGTTTTGTAGGGATTGCATAGATAAATCCATGCGACTAGGGTATGGTCTCTGATATTGTTATTGTCTAAAATGCTGTCAGTGTCATTTTCAGAAAGTTGAGATGTAACATGACTGGAGTTTCAAAATCCAAAGAGATACTTCATTCCTATGATAATCTAAGCAATGCTGTGTTTTTGCAGAAATAATGAATGCCCAGCATGCCGCACCCATTGTGCAAGTAGACGTTCTTTGAGGGATGATCCTAATTATGATGCTTTAATTTTGGCTTTGTATCCAGATATTGACAAGTACGAGGAAGAGGTGATGCATAAATTCTCCAATTAGACACATAGTAGTTTAGTTTATTTAGCTTCCGTTTTAGTTCCGGTGCCAAGGATTATAATTTGCTTGATACTACAGGAACTTGCTTTCAGCGAAGAGGAGAGGACTCGCAACAAAAAGGTGGGGTTATCTAGAATTCTAGATGGAACCATAGATGCATTTGATGTTTAAAGGAAATAATTTCCCCTGCCCATTTATAAGTTGTCTCTTTATATTGTTATTGACATTGGTTTCATTTCTCATGGAAGATCCAAGCATCCATCGCTGAAACATTTCGAAGACAATCAGAAGCACTCGTGAAGAAGCGTTCCGTTGCAAAAGCAACAGGTTCAACTATTACGAGAAGGACCAGGGGTAATATGCGCGCAAAAAGGAGGGGACGAACTAGTTCCCCTGATATTGTTGCAACTGACAATGAGGATGAGGATAGAGATGAAAATGGCAATGAGGGCAGCAAAGAGTCGTCTTCTGTTGATGACCGTTCCCCAGATGTAAGGCAGAAAAGAGTTCGGAGGTGGCCCGTGCCACGATCATCCCCTGCTAAGAGCATTGGGGGTATTGATAGTAGCTTTGAGGATATTGATGACTTAGGAAGTGGCAGAGATATCATGAGTACTTCTCCACTACGCGGAGAGATGCTTGCCTGGGGAAAAAATGGCACCCGCAGTCAAACCCGGCATGGCAATTCTGGTGGTTCCAGTGGAAGGATGGCAAAGGGTGGTCGTGTTACCAAGTTGGTTGAATACCTACGTAATACCGATGAATTCGATAATAAGGTAAAAACAGTACATAACATGCAGTAATATTCGAACTTCAAAGTTCCATCTACTTTTTTCTTTTTCCATATGGGATATGCCTGGGTTCCTTTAGTCAAATATAATTGAACAGATTACCACCTTCTGTCTTCTATTTATTCTTCAGGAGATACAGAGGTGCGAAGGGGACTATAATATATATACATTTTAGAAAATAGGTCATTTGGACCCAGCTTTTATAAAAAGCTAGGACTATGATATATCGCATGGCATTTCTTGTTTCTTTGCATGCCAGATGTGTCCCTGTGTTGTGTCTCACAGTGTGCTTTTGTAGTGCCATGAATGCAATATACGTTACCGCATGCATGAACTTGTGCAAGTTATTAGGAGGGACCTGATAAATTGTACATGGAGTCCATGCCTCTTATCCATTAGGTTTGCTGAACTTTTTGTTTGTGTTTTGCAGTTCAACTTATATCTTGTTCTACTTCCACTTAATGGACAAAGCATGCCTAAATTGGAGAAGCCCTATCTCAGTTGCCAACCGACATTCTCTGTTCGCCATCTTTGCCAGGTGATCACTTGTTTAATGTATACTATTGGTTGGTTCTTAGGCAATTTTAGCTTACCTGGCTCAATATGAATAAGCAAAGACTCTACTTCTACAACTTTTCAGTTTGTTGCTCTCCAATTGTCTCGCCATGCGAAAGAAGTGGAGATATTCATCAGGAAGAACCCCAACAATGGATGCTTTGCATCCATAGATACTAGTGCAGATGAGATAAAACTGAATCATGACGCCTTAGAAAGATTGGAGGAAGAGAAATCTCTTTCAGAGCTGTACCCTTCACTTGCCTCTGGCCATGGGGATCTGGTATTCCTCAGTTTCTAATTATGTCTAGCTGTTTACTTTTTCGCTATTGCTTCTTTTTAATACTATATTGTATTGCTTTGTTACCTCCTCCAGGAATTATTATATTCCCTGAAAGCAGAAGTGTAGATCAAATTAATGGCACAAGTTCTCCTTCAGTATCAATCTGATCAAATAGCGGGGAATATGATGGCATGCAGGGATCATCCGATGAAAGCCTGTACAAAGTTATCCAGTATAGAAAAAGAAAAAAGAGAATCAGCAAACTTAGCTCTTCCTTAGTTGTGACTCGTTAAATTTGCTCTTGGTCTTCTGATATAGTACATGGTTCATTCATTTAAATTGGAGGAATTGAAATGCATGGGTGGATGGAATTAAGTAGCAGTCGTAAAAGAAGGCCAAACATATAGTCTGGTGACTGCTCGTTGTGATATTGGTGTTGCCTGTCCAACTTGAACTGATTTTTAAATGGAGATATCAACTGATTTAACTTGGTAGCTCGATTCCCAGATGGTGGAATCGCAATTGCTCCCATTTCAGTTTGTTTTCACGCTACTCCTTTAGTTTGTTTTCATGTTACTCCTTTAATACCAGATAAAACATACCTTAGTACTACGAATTTGGACATGTCTCGATGTGCAGATGGTGGATTTGCAATTGCTCTCATTTTAGTTTGTTTTTATACTATAAATCTGAACAGAGGCAAGAATATCTTTAACTTTAATCCAATTCTAGGTTTTAGATTCTGGGAAGGTAGTAGTATCGACGTGCATGCCTTCACTTCTGATGTCTGCATGCATCGGTGTTTCTTTTCTCCCCATTGCAGAATGACAATACGCCGTACACGCATCAGCGGATCAGATTTTGGAAGTGTTTTCTGGGTCTTTGTCAGCTTTGAGTCTTTGACAATGCAGGCTCCATGGACTCGGTACGGTGCCTTGAACAATGAACAGATGGTGGGTTGCAGGAAGAATCGTGAAGTGATCAAGTTGCTGTTGACCGGTGCAGGTCTGACCGTCTGCCATGCCATGTTACCGCTGAAACTAGCCGACTGGCCTTCGACGCTCACGCAGTCCCGCTGCCAGTCAAACTGGCCGATGAGTTTGGTACTTGAGATTTGAGCGAGGGAAGCCCGGTGGGGTGACTTGCGTTAGTCAGGACAGGAGTACCGAATAGAGGACTAATTGGACCAGCCTGGCCCTGATGAAGAAGATGCTTCTCCAGGCCCAGGCCCCAGGGGAAGAAGAAGGTCCTTCCTCTGACCTAAAATATAAACATTTTTTTAAGTATTTTTTTTTGTATGAGTATTAAAAAAGTAGATAAAATAATTTGAGAAAGTGTATGGTTGATTGAAAAGAAAAAAATATGGGAAGAAGAATGGTTGCGATTGATTGAGAGGAGGAGGTAAGTGAAGAAATAACTTTATTTTAGGGCAAGATACTGTGCTAGATATAGCTATACTTTGGGACAGAGATAGTATCAAAAGATTGTAAAGAGAAAAACCCAAGAAAGGAGAAGCATCCAAATTAGGTGGTGTTTGAGGTGAAGATTAAGTTTGTGCACGTAAAACAAGAAAACTATTAGCACATGATTAATTAAGCTTTAATCATTATAAACTTGATAGATGGATATATTTAATATTTTAAAGCAACGAAACGTACCACTTAGTAGTTTAAAAAATGTGCTAACAGAAATCGAGGAAGCAAAGAGTGAGGCGTTGCCTAGTATTAGATGGATTGTTAAACTTTTAGGGCCAGTTCGCTTGCGAGTTTGACAATGACAACTTCCTTATTTTACAATACTAAACATGTGTTTTTTTGAAAAGAAATACATAGAAAACTAAGCCGAAATTTCTAAAATATAATAATTAATACTGGTTTGTCTCGTTTTACGTATCATAAAGTTACCGCTTCCAAATTCTAAAACTAAATCAGCCTTAACTACTTTTTTTTTTGGGATGCTTCTCTTCTTCCCTGGGTATCTCTTTACCATCTTTTGATGCTTGATTGCTTTACTCATGGTCAGTATGATGCTCATACCTCGTAGCGTGATTGAAAACTTGTCAAGTACTAATAGTGCCATTGCCTACATTTAACAAGATTCGCTAAATAGTCCAAAAAATACTACTACCACCTGATTTGGGTTGTCCCTCCCCTCCACACACAAAATAGAGTGATGTATTTACGTACGATTAGTTAATTATTAGTTATAAAAATAAATAAATATAATTTTCTAAAGTATTTTTTCTATATATATTTTAAAAAACATCTCGTCTAGCAGTTTGGAAACATGCAGGTGAAAAATGAGATCGACCAAAACTTCCTTTTCAGCCGTTCGGACCACTACACCACAGTACCACTCACTCGGCAGCTAAAAACTTCCTTATCAACGGCTGCAGATCAAATTCTCGACCGCCGCGCGCCGCGCTGAGCCGTCCATTCCGCTGGTGCTGTTCGGAGATGCTGCCGCTGGTGCGCCCCGGCCGCGCCGCCCCTCTCCTCCGCCGCCTCCGCCGCCGCCTCCTCCTCCTCTCGTCGCCCCAAACCCCGTCGCCTTCCTCCTCTCCGTACAGCGTCAGCAGCAGCAAAGTCTCGCCTCTCCTCCTCCTCCTCTCGGCTCGCCCCTCGCCGTCCCGCGCCGGCGATCGCGGCGCCTGGCGAGGAGTGAGCTCGTGCGGCGCCACCCGCGCGGTCGACGTCGGGGACGAGGCGGCGTCGTCGTCGGGCTCCCCCGCGGCCGCCGGCTCCGACCTCTCCTCGCCCTACCTCTCCGTCCGCATCCGCTGCCGCAAGGAGGACGCTGTCGGTACCCACTCCCCTCTCCGCGCGCGGCCAGCCATTTTCTCGGCCGGTGCGGTCGCTTTCACCCTCTCTCTCTCTCTCTCTCTCTCTCTCTCTCTCTCTCTCTCTCTCTCTCTCTCTCTCTCTCTCTCCAAGTCGATTTACGAGTTTTTTCGCCGTGTTTTCCATGTGGCATCGCGGATTCAGGAAGTGCTCTCTGAGTCCCTCTTGTGCTTTGGTGCTACCTCCGTCACCGTGGATGACATTGCCGCTGCCGGAAATCTCGATGAGGTGAGCCTTTTCTCAGTTTCTCTTGCTTTCATTTGTAGAACTGGTATTTACTCAGATGCTTGACACTGCAATTGAACATTTGGTTAATTCTAGCTGAATATAAATTTCAGGTCTCTTGTTGGCCTAGTTGCTGCAGATGACACAGGAGATTTCTCTAGTATAATAGTGGTGTTAATTTTCTGCAGATCACCATTACCTCCATTTTTGCTCATGGGGAAGATGTGGGCTCGTGCGTATCGAGTGCTGCAAGCTCAGCTGGATTGGAGTACAATCCGGTGTATGAAAGCTCTGTAGGAAAGCAATGTGATTGGGTGACGGTTGTGCAGGTTAGGAGTTAGGACGTACTCCCTCCGTCCCAAAAAAAAACCCAACCTGTACTAGGATGTGACAAATCTGGATATACTCTATGTTATCAACTCCATGTTGTCATGGTAGTGGCAGATTCTTGAAATGACTTGACAGGATTTCTGATTGTGTTTGCAGGAAACCTACGAGTCCACAAAAGTCATTGATGGTCTTTGGGTAATTCCTAAATGGAGAACTCCCCCAGTATGTGTACATACATCATGCTGTTTTCTTTTGATTTATTACAAATGAATGTTATGGAAATTTATGTATAACTGATAATCTAGTTGATCTGAAATTACCATTTTGATTGTGTCCATCCTTTCCATTCACAGGATCCACAGGCTATCAATATAATCATCAATCCAGGTCTGGCTTTTGGGACTGGGGAGCATCCCACAACTAAACTGTGCCTTCTGCTTCTACGGGAAACAGTTAAAGGGGGTGAACGTTTCTTGGACTATGGAACAGGCACCGGAGTTTTGGGAATTGCAGCTCTGAAGGTGCCATCTCGTACTGTTCTTGTTTACTACTGGTAGGTATCATGAAATGCAATCTTACCCTAATTCATGTGCTCGTTTCTACGCAGATGGGTGCGGCACTGTCCAATGGGATAGACATAGACCCTCAAGCTGTAACCTCTGCTTGTGAAAATATGATGTTGAATGGTATAGATTCCAACAAAATGCTTGTTTACTTGGTACCAACTAATGCTCAGTCTGCATGCTTTCCAAGTAATATTGACAAATCAGAAGAGAACAGGCCCACTGGTAACCTTGAGTTGAAGTCGTCAAAAGGATCATATGACATTGTTGCCGCAAATATACTCCTGAATCCCCTGCTGGAGCTGGTTGAGGACATTGTTGGTTATGCAAAATCTGGTGGAATAGTTGCTGTCTCAGGGATATTAAGTGAACAGGTAAAGGAAAGGAACTACAAATGTAATATGCCAGAGTTAAGTGTTTTTTTTTAAACTTAAATGTTCCTCTCAGTATCACTTCACCTGTCTATTATCTCATTCAGGTGCCGAAAGTTGAAGAAGCTTACTCCAGATACTTGGAGAACATCTCAGTGTCAGAAATTGATGGATGGGCCTGCCTTCGGGGAAACAGGAGAGCATAGGGGTGCAATTATTTTTCCCATTTCAGAAGCAGATTGACCATACTTCTGACATTCAAGAGAAATTTTCCGCTTAATAGACAGTTTCGCTTAACTTCTTGACACAATTTGGTGACAGTACTTGAATATTTATATTTATGTGCTATTTTGGACTAAGATCTCTTCATTGTACCCTGGCCCAATGCATGACTCTAAATAACAGTTGCAATTTTAATCTTGATACATGCCTTTTATTTTGAAGCAATACTACTGTTCACTGCTCTGTAGTAATTGATCATATGCAGTCTTTTATGAGGTTACCGTGCATAACTTTCTGGGTAGCACGTGTTGGAACTGTTCAAACATCCATATATACTCGACCTGGCTAAGGGCGACCAATAATGTTCTTTTCTACAAGAAGCAAAACAGATTCACAGGAATACATGATGAAATTAATATATGATTTTCTCCATGTTCTTCACAAAATATACACAGAAATCTTGAAGCAACATTCTTAATAGAGTAGGGAGTGGTATGAATTTGACAATTTCTGAGGTAATCTAAACCTTGTGCTTTTCACCTTTGGGAGAGCATTGAAATAAGTTTGATTTTAGATATGTTTTATGCTGCCAATAACATCTTGGATAGCAAAAAGGAATTCAAGGAAGAGCAAAAGCTCTAAACTGCAGTAGGATATCAACATACAAGCTTGTTATTCATTGTGATTAAACGATTTTTGGCAACAGAAGTCAGAAAATACTGATTGCTTGTTCTAGATTAATGATGAATACCGCCCCCGCCCCCCCCCCCCCCCCCCCCCCCCCGCTACAACTTAAATGGATAACTAAACGATATGCACAAAGATTTCTTTTCAATTAGTACAAACTGTACATGCCTGTAAATTTAACTACATTCCTGGAGATGGCTTCAACGTTACAATTTGTCAATTTATATGTTTCAAAATGGTGTATGCAGCTAACAGTTTGGAAGGGGTAATCTGAACCAGGTTTTCAGCATATACCCAATGAAGTAACCACCGGACCTCTATACCTGTGCTTTGCGAAACATTCCCATCTAAATTTTGCTGGGAATCCTGTCTCTAAGGAATGCCTCTATATCTTTTATAGATTTCAAACCTTCTTGTTTATCAGCAAGAAACTTTGAGAACTCCAGAACTTTTCCCCCTCTACCATTTTCTGGGGAGGTACTGAAAAAAGGGGATGATGTTGGTGCCAGTGCCCATACGGATGAGAGCACTTCATTGGGTTTGTCCAACTGCTCCAAAATTTTGAAGTCTCCTTTTGCTGTTAAAGAAAAACAAGAAGGTTGAGAAGTCCTATATACTAAAGGAGTTTGATTGATTCAATGTTGATTAAGAAGACAATTTGAACAAAATAAGGTACCTGAGTACTTGAAGACCATTTCCAAAGATTTACAGGGGATGCTGAAATTCAGATGAGGTATTGTGCTCCCACCACCATGCTTAGCATTGCTGGACACGTGGGAATAAAAGAAGATGAGCTTATATTCCATTCGTACTCTACTCACTATGATCTAGAACCATTACATAATGAAAGTGGTCACTGCATATATGGAGCATTTAAATTATGATTAATGTATCGTAAATAGCACATGTTTACCACAAAAATTGGTATAGCTGGCACAATTAATTAAGCAGCACATCTTTTTCTCAGTTGTCTATCAATTCTGTCATGTAACAGCACAAAAAAAATGCAATTATACTATGATGTGAGGCTCCAAAATAATTTGGTTTATACCTTGTTATTAGCCCCACCATTCGGCCAAGCGAATCAAGAAGAACACCGCCACTTGCCCCTGGGTGAACTGCTGCTGTTGTCTGCAGCATTACCGGTATGTCCATATTGTTAACCTCCACAACGCTAGACAGTTGGGAATGTTGAGTTGATGGGATTTTGACAATCTTTGATACCACTCCAGAGGAAAGGGAGGAGGATAGTCCTACAGTCAAATACTTGGATATCAATTTCATAATAAAAAAACGATATGAACTGAAATGTACTCATGCACATCAGCACGTGGTAAAATGAGCATCAAACTGTTTCCAATGCTATCTTGAAAAACTATGATTGGTTATGTTTGTTACCTGATCGAGGTCCAAGAAGGCCATGTCCAACCACATATACAGATGAGCCTGCTGTTGGACAAACAAATTCTGGTCTAATGGCACATAATTCAATTGGAGTTTTTTCCATTTGAAGCAAGGCAACATCAAGTGGACCTTTTGAGATAAAAACTACACTAGCATTGCACCATGTCTTCCTCTCTCCATGATCCAAACGAACCGATATTGCCCTGTCCTTTTTTAATCCAAAATTAAACAATGAAAGTTCATGTTTTACAGCATCTTCATTTGAAACTTTGCATTGTTGTGGCTGCAGCAGATTGTTTTCTCCTCCACAGATGTGTTCACTAAATGAGGCAATTTTGTTTTGCAAGCCTAACGGCGAAGTTCTTCCAAACCTCCAAGGTTCCAAAAGATGTGCATTTGTCATAATTAAGCCATTTTTATTGAGGATAATCCCTGAAGCCCAAGATGTCTCACTAACCGTGACAAGAACAACTGAGGATATAGCTTCTGTGAGTGAAGGTGAAACGTCATACTGATTAAGATTGTTGGCTGAATTAGGGACAAACCTCCTATGCTTATCTGCAACGCATGATTCCTTATATTTACAATCTGAACTTTTGTCATCAACTAATTCACTTGGGGGATGGCCAATTCTTTCCAGCTTGTCACTGTTCCATGCATTGCAGATTGCATCCCAGGTAATTACAAGCTGTATTGCAGTTGCAGATATCAGTTTTTATATCCGTTCTATTTGCAAAAATTATCTCACTGACACTAGTAAACTCACCTGAACTTCTGTGCTGCTGCCTCTCTGTCTTAATGGCTTCATCAGCATCCCCACAAGGCAAGAGTTTTTGTCAAACACTGGAGCACCTTCCATACCTTAGTTGAGAATTTGTTAACAGCCAATGCTTTAATGTTTTTTTAACATAATCCAATTCTGTAATGTACCACATAAATAGTAGGCACAGGGATTTATACCAGGAAGACAGTGGACATCAGCCATCAGCAATGAGCTCCTGGCAGTGCCTGGAGGGAGGCAATTTGCAACAACACCAACTGATATACTGCTTAAAGAACACAGGTGCATATTATGGATTAATGCATATTATGGATTAATCTGACAGTACCTCCTTATCTGCTAATAAATGTGGTATTATAAATTAAATAGTAATGTATCATGTTTTCCCAACACCATAAGGTACAACAGCCAATTGTTAACTAACAAGGCAACTAGCTTTTGTAGGTCACTTGACAAAAAATGTTTTTTTTTAACGACTCACACTAGACAGTGCAAAGTTCTATTGATAGAGCAGGAAAAAATTACAAGATTATAACCCTGGGAGGTCGTGACAAAAAATGCTAGGTCATGTCTGTTTTCACTTTTCATTTTTAGCAACAGTGTGCAAATCAGGTGAGTTAATAGGTGACTAAAGAGTGGCACTTCAATATTATCCCCATAACAGACAGGCAATTGCTTCAAAATTTTGAAATGTTTAAAGTCTATAAATTTATACCGAGTCACCGGTCAACATAAAGAAATCTCGAACACTTCCACCTTAATTAAACACCCGTTGATGTTACAAACATGCTAGTTACATATGCTTGCTCTATAGTTAAGGTGACATACTGAGTTTCAACAAACAGTCTAATGGGCCCCTATAAATTGGTAACAAGATACCCAAATGAACTAAAGGAGTAGAATTAAAATTACCTATTGAAGAAATGGACAGGTGATAATATGCCAAATGGAGATCCCATTATCAGCAAGGAGTCCCCTCGTTGTTGCATCAGTGAAACATTGATACATCTTGTATTCTGATCATTGACCAAGATTACTAAGTACAACTCAAACAGCAGTATAAGTTGCACCTCCGAGGGTGCTAAGGATCATGAATTGAAATGACAAGCTTAGCCTCACACTTGAATTTAAGTTTGAAACTCCTAGAATAGCAATTCTTGTGGCAGACTTGGCCAACATTGGTGGCTCTGTTGACTCAGCATAAGCATTTTTCCTGTTACACTCAAGGGAATATCTGGCATCATTATCAACCTGATAAAACCTCGTAACTGTTAAGTTTTGTCCAACATAAAATCAGGGCAACAATTTGACTTGATGAACAAACAGACCTGCTTCTGGTTGACATCAGCCAATGACCAGCAGACATCCCACGATGAACTTCGAATCAATGAACCTTCATGTTGCAGTAAGGATAATACAGAATCAGCAGATGCTTGGACATCAACCTAAAAAACAAAAGGGCCTGATGATCAATCATTAACATTTATAGCTTTTACAGAATTCTATTATAGGTCGATGAAGACATGAAACACATTTCTTCTGATAAAACACAATTGTATATCACTTGTAACACTTATTATTATCCAATAAACAAAATCCTGTTTACTGCTCTTACAACATTCCTAACGAACAGTCCAAACTTGCCAAAGTTCTTATCATTTTTCATAGGGCAGTGCTAGGAATGTTCAGTCACAACTCATAACACATAAATCACTGGTATATACAAGACAACTCTGCTGTCAATGGCGGAGCCCAGACCCGGCCACCTTGGGCCGGTGCCTGGGCTCAGCCAAATGAACCAGTACGATCCTGCTTTGCTGCTTCTACTGGAGGCCAGATTAACAATGCAAAATAGCAAAGTAATTAAGGCCAAAATGGTGAGTCAATACTAGCCTAGTCCATTGACAATACAAATAAACATAATCCTATCAATCTAATCTCTCTCACAGTTTATATGTATGTTATTGTAGGAGTACTTGTTATTTATCGTCACGCTTGCCCAAGGTCAAGAAAATTTTTGGATCCGCCACTGTCTGTTGTAATATCCATTCCTTTCAAATGGGACTAAATGCACGAGAGAGCATTTAGAATTTTAAACTGTGAACTATACTCGTTTATCATCATTCTTTCTGAAACCAAAAAACATCCTTCAAATCCATGAGCTCTAGAACAAATAATCTACCCTATTGTGGTGTGAGGGCCCGGTAGATGTTTACACACTTACTACTAACAGTCCAACAGTAGAATCTTGCTGAGAGAAGTAAAGCTAAAATCCATGGTAAAGAGTATATACTTTCAAGTTATAACCAGCAGAACTACTTACTATGGCAA